TTTTCCAAAATCAATGTGATATGATTTGTCTTTAATATCAAATTCAATTGATTTTAAAGATGGATTATCTTTTGTGTGACAATTTCCAATTGTAACTTGATTGAATATTGAATGTATGGATTTTGATAGCTGTTTGACCTGATTGTTTTGTCCAGTTGGGGTTAAATTATCAAATGGTTTTAAAAAAGTTGCCCTTTGACGATTATCTCTTATTTGTTGAAGTATTTCTAATTGAAGTCCAAATATATGTGGTCCTGAATAACGTGTTTTTTTCCTGAATTTATTGCCTTTAATTAATTATTTTTGTTATTAACTTAAAATTAATATAAATTATAATACAATATAGTTAAAATTAATATAAATTACAATATATATACCCTTGAATACAAATTTGCAGCATCTGAACATGACATATCTGATTTTACATGAAATTCAAAATTATTTCCGTAGTATATCCAGAATTTTGGTTTCTTTGTTAGATATTTAATTGCACATATAACTGTTTGTCTAGTTTTTGATCTTCCCCAGCTAGTTTTTATTTTATATTATCAGGAATTCGATAACCATTTTCACCTTTTGTATATGACAAATAAGTTGAAGATGGATATAACCCTTCTTTAATAATATCATACGTATAGCTTCTTCCGGGTTCAAAATATTCAATAATAGATTTATTAGGATAATTATGACTTTCACTGTGATTTTTTTTTTAATTTGTTGCATTGTTTATTAATTTCACGTTATATATAAAAAAAAGTTTCAAAAAAGTTGATACATATTTTCGCATATATATTATATAAAAAAAAGTTTCGCGTTATTTTATTTAACATAAGTTTATATATTTTTAAATTTATAGCCAATCAAATTAAACCGATCAATATTGATGATCTATTAAATTTGGGGACCTCCAATAAAAAAATTAGGGTACTTTCGCAATCAGCAGATATGTTATTGTTATGTTATATAACAAAATATTTTTCTCCATAAATGAAAACGTGATTACAAGAATTGGTGAAACCGAAAGGGTTCTAGAACATCCACTAGAATCAATTGATTCATGAAGAGGATCCGATCAACAAAGTGAGGCCCTCCTCGAATTCCCAGGTAATGGTTGAAATATAATAGTGAAGATTGTATTTCTGATACATAAAAATAAATATAAGATCATTTTTAATTTGCTTATTTGTACATTACAATATTTTTTATGTTACGAAGTGCCATTACTTTCGTTATTTGAAATATTATTTTTATCGTGGTTGTATCATAGTATAAAAGAACTCTCGATCGATATATCACTCCGGATGGCGAAATATATTAATCATGTATCCACATTTTATTGTTTGAGATTGTTTCGTAAGAACAGATACCAGTCGTGCGTATGCTTTTATTTGTAAGAATTATGTCAATTAATCAATTATATTTGTCTTTGTAAATTTCTGCCATATGTCCAATTGCAATCATATCATTTATTTCAGTGGTTGTGATTTTCCCTATTTCTTTGGTTATATCTTTTCCTATAGCCTTAGTCCTATTGAAATTATGGTGTATTTTTTGTTGATATTTGTAGTGCCTTCACTTTTAATTGGAAGTACCTGGTATGACTGGATTTTCATAAAGAAAAATTTGTTTTTTTACACGCCTTCTTTATGATTTTTTTATTTCAATGTTTGGGATTTCGATTTATCTCAATGTTTAATTTTGATATTTAAAATTTCCTTTACACTTGCTCGTTAAATATTTTCAAAACTCCTTGTGTTCTATCTTCATAGGGATTGGAACCGCCTAAAATTTCTTTAATTCAGCTGGCATTAATACTATTCCCGATGATTTTGGCCAATGCTCAGCCCAGTGCTATGGGTGAATTTTTATGTGGTTAACCAGTTCCAATCCTTATTCTTCCATCATCAAAACAAATCCCGAAAAAGCACAACAAAATCCTTTTTCTCTCAAAACCCGAAAGTCATCAACACAGACTCATTTTAATTTGTTAAATACGGACGATATATCAACAACAGTGTCTTAATGACAAATAATAAAGATAGATAGCAAAATAAGAAAAATAAAGTTTCATTCTATTTTATTTATTCTTATGTGTAAATAAGGACTGGTTTATTTTTATTGATAAATGATTTTTATAAAAAAAACGTCGGCTCAAAAATACAAAGTTTTTAGTATGGTTAAGAATAAATATTATACCATTATAGAAATAATAAATAAATAAACAAAATAAAATAAGAACCAGGCAAACAATTTAATAATAATAAAACAAAAAATCCAAGAGATATTCTCTGGTGACCGACCCAATAATCTTGATTAAAGTTAATGATAATGAAAAATATTAACCCTCCGCTTCAGTATGGAATAAGAAAATTACAAGCCGGGGATAGTGGTCTGTACAGGAGCAATATCGCATACACTGTTGAATGTACCGCATGACCAGCCGTTTTGCGGGCC